GGGTGGGGGGGCCGGCCTCTCGTCCAGGTGCAGGCGGGGGGGCTTGGGCGGGGGCTGGGCGGCGGGTAGCGTCAGGGCCTGGACGCCGCCGATGACGGGCAGCGAGATGGCGTTCTTCAGGAGGGGCGAGCTCTCGGACGAGGAGGAGGAGGAGGAGGGGGAGGCGGGGTGCCCCCCGCAGACGCTGGCGGTGCGGGCGAACTCGAAGGCGCCCTCGCCGGGACGCTGCCGGCCGGGCAGCAGGTGGAACTTGCCCTGCAGGAAGGACAGGTCCCCGAAGAGGTCGCCCTCCCCGCCGCCGCTGCCGATGTGGATGGTGTGCCGGAAGTCGCCCAGGGGGGGGCTGATCATGTCCGAGGACAGCAGGTCCCGGAGCTTCTCCTTCTTCCCCTTGCGGCTGCCCCTTTTCAGGTAGATGGGCGCCTTGGCCGACATTTCCCTGGGATCGGCCCGGCGGGGGGGGGATCTGGGATCTGCTCCCGGCTAGGGGATCCGGAGCACGACTCGACGGGGAAGGGTCACCCGAGGCCCGGCCCGTCCACCCGTCATCCCCCGGGAACAGGGGACGCCGAGGGGTCCGGGGTCCCGAGGAAGTTGGGGGGAATAAAACCGCAGAACGGGAACGGGCCCGGCCTTCCGGTCCCCCCTTAGAACAAGGGGCGAGGGGGAATCGGATCGCCGCGGTACCGGGCCGCTGGTGGCGTCGGGGCGAGGAGGCGGGAACTTGCGCGATCCGGGCTTGCAGTTTCCGGCGGCGCTGGGGCGCTGGGGCGCGGGCCGGCGTCGACCCGCGAGCGGCGAACTGGTGCGTCCCTGCGGACCTGCAAAAGAAAAATACCACCCTCGTTACGGGCCTTAATTGGGAGCGTCATCTCTTCTTGTTTCGAATTGCTTTCTCCTCTTTCCTCCAGGCGCTGCCAATTAATTAATTAAGACCACGAGGCGGGAGCGTTTTATAAGGGGAAGACGAGAGATCGGAGATGGGGGACGGAGAGAGTGGAGCGGTGTGTGGTTTTTTGGGGATGGGAGGGGAGGAAAAGACGTGTTGTGCGTTTCTTT